TCAGTCTCAGCCTGGAGTATACTTAACGACAGCCTAAGTTCATTATCCTCAGAGAGATAAAATTCCTCCTCATCCGTCTTCAACCAGGCAACTTCTCCCACAAAGGGAAATAACCTCTCCCCATTTACCCTGTCATACCTGTTAAGAACCTTGTATGTTTCAATTAGTGTGCCTCACATTCCTTTAAATTCCAAAGAGTACAGGCCCAATCTACACAACTGCTCCTCATAAGAAAATCCCTCCATATTGGGATCAACCCAGTGAACACTCTCTGGACTACCTCTGATGCCAGTCTAACTTTCCTTACACAAGTTTGCCAAAACTGCTCAAAGCATTTCAGGTGTGATTGGACTAGTGTCTTGTATAGTTTTAGCAAGATCTACCTATTTTTAATACCCCATTCCTTTTGAAATAAAGACTAACATTCTATTTGCCTTCCCTATTACCCACTGAACTTGGGCAGGAGCTTCTTGTGATTTATGCACAAGAATCCCCAGATCCTGCTGCACTACAGTTTCCTATAGGTTTTCACCATTTAATATAAATTCAGTTCTTCTATCCTTCACATCAAATTGCATAGCTTCACACTTTCCCACATTACATTCCATCTGCCAAGTTTCTGCCCACTCAAAATCTGCTCACATCTATCAACTTTGTGTTAACCTCAGCACTTGCCTTCCCACCTATTTCTGTCATCCACAAACGTGTCAATAGCATAGTCACATCCATCATCCAAGTCATTAAGACATATTGCAAAACAGTTGTGGCCCCAGCTCACATCCTGGTAATGTTCAATTAGGTTGCAATATTGAAAATGACCCTCTGACCCTAACTGTTTTCACTAGCTAAACAATCCTCGATCCATGCTAGGTAACCACCCAGAACACCATGGGCTCTTATCATCTCAAGTAGCCTTATATAAATTATCAAAACCCCTTTTGAACCTCAAACATGTTACATCCACGAGATCTCCCTGCTCCAAAGCATTGTAACTGTATTTTATATTGCCAAATGCTGTACTATCGCACCTTTCATGAAAGGCTAGTAGCTTCTAAATATCCAATGTTAAGCTAATTGGCCTATACAGTTATCTGTCTTGCGCCTCCTCTCATCTTTGAAAGAGAAAGGGTTACAAACAAGTTTTCCATTCCTCTGGGACCTCTCCAGAATCTTGGGCTTCTTGGAAGATTACTACCAGTGCATCTATTATCACTGCAGCTTCTTTTAAAATTCTAACCAGCAAGAGTGTCCAAAGGTTAACGACAGAAGATGGGACTGTGAAATTCAAAACTAGCTAATCAACTATGATCTTATTCAAGAATAGAAAAGATTGGAGAATGTGTATGGCCTACTTCTATTGCTAATTTGTGTGTGTTTTCATATTCATTGATTTCATTCGTAATAACATGACCAAGATCTAGGCTTGGACTCGAATGTTTATGAGCTATAGGTTTGTTGATATCTTGCACATTGTTGGAAGGCTGACTGTTTTCAGTGGTCTTATACAATTTCACCCCATAAATTCATCACTGGTTCAGTCTACATACAGTTGGAACAATGAGTAATATACTGTTGCACAAATTCCTAGCTGACATTCATTTCTTCTTAAGATCATCCCATTAGGTGTTGTGGCTGCACAAGATCTAAGCTCACTGCACACTTTAGATACTTCTGTGGACCACCAGGTTATAGCATACAACTTGCATCTTGTACCTACGAAAGGACAAAGCAATTCTACTCACCAGTCATAGGCTATCTTCTTTCTCTCTTGCTTGCAAGAGTATTGTCTTCTTTCCTGAGTGTATGGACTGGCAGATGACTGGCATGGTTGTCCTAATTGCCTTCTGAACAGGATTTCAACTGATGATGGCAAATCCATATGTAGAAACTACACTTAAGTGTAGGATTGTAATATGGAGATTGTGTTTTGCTTCCCAGCACTGCATAATCAATCCCTTAGCAGTGCGAACCATTTGCTTAGCAAGGCAGTTAGATCTAGGATATCATGAGGAGGCTGGTATGCCTCATGCTCCTAAGAAAGTCCACAGGTATACAGTGACTTTTGTTAGGTATGATCTCTTCAGGTGTATCAAAACGGACAGAATATTGTACTCATTATGCATCATTCAAGGTATCAATTGCTTGCCTGATGATTGGAAGGTTCGAAGTAGCTACTGCCCTGGAGAAAATCACCAGCATTGAGTGTAAATAAGTCAGTTGCAATTCTAAACTAAGGGCAGGACAGTACTCTTGTAAGAGAGAGCGAAAGTTCTGTGCATTGATGTGGTAACATGACTATTGCCGGTCCACTATAAAAGGACAAACATATTTCAATGACACTGCACCAATTCAAGAAATGAGTGCTCCACTACAAGCAGCTATGTTTGACTTACTTTTAAGTTGCATAATTTACTTCCAAAAATCCAGATGCAAACCCTCCAGGATTCTGACCAGTCAGATGTTCACTCTCTCACATATCAACCTTGGCTAAGATTATATGCTTAACCATTTTACACAGAATCACAGAATCCCTATCGTGCAGAAAGAAGCTATTCAGCCCATCAAGACTGCACCAATCCTCCGAACAGCATCCCACCCAGACACAGCACACCCCCTCCCCCCCCCACCCTATCCCACATTTCCCATGACTAACCCATCTAACCTGCACATCCCTGTACACTAAGGGGCAATTTAGCATGGCCAATCCAACTAATCTGCACATCTTTGGACTGTGGAAGGAAACAAGAGCACCCAGAGGAAACCCATGCTGACCCAGTAAGAAGGTGCAAATTCCACACAGACAGCTAAGGCTACCAAACTTGGGTTCCTGGCACTGTGAGGCAGCAGTGCTAACGACTGTGCCACCATGCCATCTTTACTTTTTTTTTAAAAAAGGTCACTCATGGGATGTGGCGTTGTAGGCTGGGCCAGCATTTATAATCCATCTCTAGTTGTCCTTGAGAGGTGGTAGGTAGTGAGCTACCATCTTGAACCACTGCAATCCATTTAGCGTAAAAATGCTATTACGGAGGGAGGGGAGTGAAGGGAAGGAGGGTGTTCCAGGATTTTGACCTAGCAACACAAAGAACAGCAATACACTTCCAAATCAGGATGGTGATTACATTGGAGGGGAACTTATAGGTAGCAGTATTCCTATGTATCTGTTGCCGTTATTCTTCTAGATGGTAGCGGTCATGAGTTTAGAAGGAGTTTTCTAAGGAGCCTTGGTGAATTTCTGTGGTCCATTTTGTAGATGATAAACACATTGCTACTACTGTGAATGACTGCTAGAGCCGGGTAAACCTGGTGCCAACTAAGTGAGCTTTGACCTGAATAGCTTAAAGCTCTGAGTGTCACTGAAGCTGCTCTTATCCAGCCAAGTTGGGAGAGTTCCATCACACTCCTGACTTATGCTTTGTCAGTGGTGAACAGGCCTAAGGGAGTGAGTTACTTGCTGCGGTATTCCTAACCTCTGACCTTCTCTTGTAGCCACAGTATTTATACGGCTAGTCCAGTTCAGTTTCTGGTAACCTCCAAGAAGTTCAGAGATGGAAATCCAGCAATGGTAATGTCAGTGAATGTCAAGGGGTGATAGTTACAGTTCTGGTCGCCACACCACCAGAAGGATGTGGAGGCTTTGGACAGGGAAATGAAAAAAGTTTACCAAGATGCTTCCTGGTTTGGAGAGTATTAGCTATGAGGACAGATCAGACAAACTTGGATTGTTGTCACTTAAACATCAGAAGTAAAGGGGTAACTTGATAGAAGTTTACAAAATTGTGAGAAGCACGAATATAATAGATAGTCAGAGCCTTGTTCCCAGGGTATAAATGTCAATTACTAGGGGACATAAGTTTAAGGTAAAGTTTAAATGCAAAGTGAGAGGCAAGTTTTGTCTCCCCACCACACCGCACTTCACTCACATGCATGAGCTCGCGCACACACACGCACAGTGTTGTATTCACGTATATCATTTCTATCAAATTGTTATTATGCAATGTTTATAAACTGTATGTGTACTAATAGCTTACCTCACTTGCCAAACGTCTCAGTGGGATAGCAACAGTTTTCTGCTTCCTCTCAGTAATCAGATTAACAAACCTAAAAAGTTAAGAATCCAATATTTTTAAACATGTAGTCACTAAAATTACCTAAATAATCTGATGAAATTTAAATAAGTTGCACTGCATATAACCAATTATTGCAAATTACCCAACTAACAGAATTGATTTTTTGTGATCAGTGTTTATAGTGATCACGTGCATGTACCAGTAACTGGTTTAATTCTTATTTCAAAACACAATTGAAATTCAGGCTCATATTACAACATATCAGTAATCAGTTTCTCACAAAAGTATATCAATTGTGCTGGTACGATGGAGGACTGGCAAAGGATTCTGATGTTTACTACTTTAAAATTAAGTAAATACTA